CATCCCTGGAAGAAGTATCTCCTAGAACCTTCTGACCAATTTCAAGCTAGATCGTTCACCTTCCTTTACCTTAAGACTATCCCTCCATTAACTTAGAATCTAACTTCACTATCATCCTGAGAGTTCCCATCACCTTTAATCACAGGTTGCACCTCCTGTTTCCTGTATCCCATGTCTTTTTCTTTGGATTATTTCCTCTTTTTGATGGAACACATCCCACAGTAGCTTACTGAGAAGGGATATATGGGAGGTACATTTGAGACCTTCAATTGATCATTTGCTTGGGTGTAGAATTCTAGATAGAACATGTCCCCTCCCTGTTGAAAACATTATTCCACTGACATTAAGCTTCCAGTATTACTGTGGCAGTTCAAGGGCATTCTGATTTCTCCCACCCCTTCCCTAGAACTTGATTTTTTCCCCCCAGAAGCTCATACAATCTCCATGTTCTCTGTAATCTCATGACTGAGCTTTGCTGTATGTTTTCATCCATTGTGCTAGGGCCATTTCAACCCAGAAACTCATGTACATCTGTTCTGGGAAATTTTCCCGAGTTATTTCATTGACTTCTTTCTTTCCATTTTCATTGTTCTCTCTCTCACGTCTGTTCAAATGGTGAATCACTTGGGCTGATCCTTTAATATTCTTTGTGTTCCTATTTTTCATCTTTTAAAAAATTCTGTCTGGGAGATTTCCTCTCCTGGCTCTTTCAAACTCCTGATTTTTTTTTTTATTTCTGCTATTGTGTTTATGATTTCTTTTTTTTTTTTTTCCAAACAAAGACATATTTAATGACACAGTTCACTATCAGTAAATGGCTATTCTTTTGGTTTTGGTTTTAGTTTTTTTTAATTTTATTTAAATCCAAGTTAGTTAACATATAGTGTAGTAACGGTTTCAAGAGTTGAATTTAGTGATTCATCATTTACATACAACACCCAGTGTTCATCACAAGTGCCCTCCTTAAATGCCCATCACCCATTTAGCCCATCTCCCCACACACCTCCCCTCCAGCATCCCTCAGTTTGTTCTCTGTATATAAGGGTCTCTTGTGGCTCAGTCGGTTGGGCATCTGACTTCACTCAGGTCATGATCTCACAGATTGTGAGTTTGAGCCCCGTGTCAGGCCCTGTGCTGACAGCCCAGAGCCGGGAGCCTGCTTCAGATTCTGTGT